CGGGTAGCAGCTGCGGGGGACTAGGGTATTGCTACCCGCGGGAAGCCCAGCAATCCCATGATGTGGGGGGAGGGGGGGAGCTAATTGTAATAGGGAAGTACGAGCTGCTGCTGCTGCTAGAGCAATAGCAGCTGCCATAGGCCTCCCTTCTGGACTGGACTAGCTGTCAGGAAGCGCAAAAATCATTGAGTGTAGCGCAGTGGCATTCTAATGACCACCACCACAGCGATTCACTTCCTTTGGCTTTTCTTCCTCACATTTGGTTCGTTTATTTCTTCAAATTTTTAAAACAGATTTTCCGCTGTGTATATTTGCAGTGTCCCCGCGTCCCAACCCCATCCATTTAGAGTTTAGCTCTTATTCGATTTAGTTATTGATTTTGGCGTCAAAACTTTCGCGTATCCATACCCGAGACTTAGGCGACTGGGCTGAAGTTATGTGTGGGCAGGAGCGTTATTCTGAAATTTTAGCTTTCACGTTCTTCGAGTTAAAAATTTTAGCGCCCAAAAAATTTAAGCCCTCGGTCGTAGCTTACTTGAGCTTGATTTTTTGCGAACCCCGCCGAAATAGACAGATTTGGGATCTCGCCAGCTATTGTCATTTGTGAGCACTCGGACTACTCGTTTGGCTTTAACATGTTTTAAAAAGTCTTGCTGTGGGGCTGCCACCAGCGTTGTTCTTAAAGTGTTTTCTTCCGTGGCACAGCCAAGGCTTTCTTCGAAACACAGCACATTTATTCGAGATGAAGCAGCACGGTACTCTTGCATCTGCTCAACGGCGACAGGCAACACAGCGGTTTTTTCCAAAAAATCCGCAAAAAGCGGGCTCCCAGCACAGTATTCCGAAAATTGCATGGTACTGGCTTTTCTGGGATCAAGAATCTCTATCGTACGATTGGTGGTGATTAATGCTTAGATGTTTCTCGAAAGTTTTCTCACAGTTCACTTTTTTTTTCGAACGATTTTGTATGAGGCTGTTGTTTTAGATGTGAGCGGTGGAGCGCTGTTCGGGATGAGCTGCGAGGGGCACCAGGAGCAGCTTTCCGAGTGGTCGCACTGCATCATACCGCACGGTGATCTCGCTGATGCTGTCAGTAATTTCCTAAAAAGTGTCAAGGACTACGGATGCAAGGTTACTGAGGTTTCAAAAGATTTCAGTCAAAAGATTTCGAAACCAAAAGGCGTTTTATAAGTGCTGCAGACAGTAGCTGGTTTTGGACGTATTTGCATAAACAATTTAAATTTTAATCAAATTCATACTAATTACCACAATCGTCGTACTGACGAGGTTCTGTTGTGGTAAAGGTAAGAAATGCATACGACTTAATGGATCGAAACATTTCGTACTATTACCAAAATTTTTCAACATTTTATTAGTTCTCTTAACATAAAAATATCTTATTTTTCTTATATATACATACATATATATGTTAATTGACTAAGTCATCATGAATACAAATTCACCTC